AGGCCACCAGGTTGGTCTGACATGACCTGCCGCTGATGAACCCGTGCTGGTTGCCCCGAGCATGCATTTCCCTGCTGGCCCCTCCTGGATGTGTGCCAGAATAATTTTCTTGAACAGCTTGCCCAGGATTGAGGTAAGACTGACTGGCCTATAGTTTCCCGGGTCCTCCCTCCTCCCCTTTTTGAAGATGGGAACCAGGTTGACCCTCTTCCAGTCCTCCGGCACCTCTCCAGAGCACCACGAGTGCTCATAAAGCTGCGCCAGGGGACTCGCAATGACCCCGGCCAGTTCCTTTAGAACTGTAGGGTGGAGATCATCCAGACCGGCTGACTTAAAAACATCCAGCCCCTCCAGCAGCTCCCTAACTAGATCCTCACTTACCCTGGGCTCAGGTGTGCCTCCCTCGGGGCCCGATGGGGGCCTAGCAGGGAGGTGGCAGTTCAGGTCCTTACTGAGGAAGACAGAGGCAAAGAAATCATTAAATATGTTGGCTTTGTCGTCTGGTGTGACAACCAGATTCCCCGTCACGTCCTGCAAGGGCCCCACATTACCCGGGGCCTTCTTTTTACTCCCTTAATCCACTTATTTAAGTGGATTAAGATAATCCACTTAAATAATCTTAATGTGACTGAATGATTTCTAAAGAAACATGATTTTAATTTTCCCCCTTGAAAACACACTTCCTATTTCCTGAGTTCATATTGCTGGAGTTGTATGTAATCAATGTGTAAACAACACTGCAGATATGGGTTATTCAGCTTGTGTTAATAGGGCATTATTAAATCAGGTTTACTGTGATGCAGCAGTGTACAGAATTTAAAATGCAATACATTAAACTGCAAATCTGGCAATACTAAATAAATCTAGGACAGACTTATTCCTTTTAACAGTACAGAGTGATTAGTTGCTAACTGCAGGAGACAAGTAGTGTCATAAGTACCAGTACTATGACCCTTACACATATCTCTTACTCTAGAGATAGTCTTATTTAAGACACTTGCATTTTGGTTATCTCACTCATAAATATGAACCTATGTGCATTGATGTATCATGATAAATCTGATTTGAATACGAAGAAATATTTATTTGCTCAGCAACTTCAGTGTTATTTAATTTCTAAAAAATGATAATTTAATTTGAAACTAAATACACCTTTTCATTATAAAGCCAATTTATTTATTATGGGTCAGATTGAGCAGGTATTTTGGTGTTAAGCGGTTAAAAATTAAGTGTATACTCTAGTGTGTGCTGCAGCATGATTCTGCCCTCTGGCCATGATCCAGTAAAGTATATGCTTAACTTTAAATATATAAGTATCATGTGAACAGACAGAATTCCTACTGCCAAAAGGACAGACAGATATTATAAATGGCATTATTAAATATATTGTAAATACATATGATGTTAATAAACTATAAACACTTAGGGTCAAATTTCACCCTTGAATATGTAATTTTCATGCCTTTTTGATGTTCAGAAAAGCTCAACACATACTTTGAAGCAGATAATTTGGACCTTATTTATTTAGTATGCAACAGAAGAAATGTAATGGCTTCAGTTATTAAAGATTAATCACTAATGGATTATTAAGAACATAGGGTATTAATTATTTTTAATTGCTATGTAATTATATGCTTAAATGCAGCTGGGATTTTTTGTATTTTATTAATAATAATTTGATACTCAAATAACATAAGGTGAGGACAGTTCAGAAATGCCTTTATATATGATTCTGTTTGCCCAGCCATTTACACATTCTAAAATAGCATGCATTTTAACTACTTGTTGCTGCAAATCCTTTCCCTATATGCATGTTTGTTTGGTTATAGACACAAGTAACTGTGTGTGTGTCTTACTACTCAGTAGCCTAATAACACTTCACAGTAGCATGCTGGTCAAAAATGTGCTAACACTCTACTGTGCAGTGTTATTAGGCTACTGCACAGTAAGCATCACAAAAAAGTAATGCACTGGGACTACTGCACAGTAACTAGTTACTGCACATTTAGTTAGTACTTCATTAAGCAAGTACTAAACTAAATGCACAGTAACTACTGTGCGTAAATTAACATGTAGACACACCCTGTTGTGCAAATGGATTGGCATCTATGAAAATCTAATCCAAGATAATTTTCTTGTTGAATCTAAATTCAGTACTTATTTGAAAGCATCACTCAGAATTGTAGAAACACTGACTTGGTTAGGGAGAAAAAAATACTATGGAATGGAACCTACTGACAATGAACTCTGAGATAATGGAATGGACTATAATGAAGGAGAGTATAAATTCTCCGTTGTTTCAGTACACTACAATGCATAAATTGCAGCACAATCCACATATTGCTGAAGTTGATGGAATTCTTTACAATGACCAAAATGGGCTTTGAGATCAGACTGACAGAAACCATTTGCTTGTATGACTTTACTATAAAAGAGTTACACTGGGCACATCTATATGTGCATAGTAAGGCAAAGCAATAAATTCTAGCACATAAAGTGTTAGAGTTTATTGCTTCTGGGTTCTGCGTTTAGATGTGCGCCAGGACCACAACACGTTGAGCTGGGTTGGAGCAGTCCCAGATAATGGGTGGCCCTGGGGGGTCAGTCTGCCAACTAGGGCTGCTCCAACCTGGCTTAACATGCTGCGGAGGGGCTGGCTGGGGCATGATTGTGCTCCAGTGTGAGGCTAGCTAGCAGGTAGCCCTTGCACTGAAGCACTCTCATACCCCAGCCAGCTGGATCAGCATCTACACATGTACTGCTGTGCACAAAAACCCTATGCAGCAGGATAGTACAAGTACAACTTGCTGCAGCGTGTATTAGTTTCCTGTGGCCTAACAAGACCACACATGCAGGTGCTGAGATGTAAACGTCTCATGTAGACATGCTCATTTACAGTAGACATCTCACGTAGATGTGTTCACTTTTGAATGAAAAAAAAGGCTAGGTCAGAATGCTGAGTTCTTTGCTTTGTCCTGCGTAGAACTCTCCTGTAGAGGACGTTGCTTTGAAGCTTTTGTCAGAGGAAGAGAGTGCGACTGTGATGCAGACTGTGAAAAATATGGCAAGTGCTGCTCAGACTATAATAAGCATTGCAAAGAAGGTAAGCATAAATTTCCTTCATTTTTGTATTTTATCGATATATATATTAGAACCAGCTACCTTATTTTTGTAATGGAATATTAACCTCTCAAAATTTTTATTTGATACTACGCACATTATATTTGAAAGAAATACTGCCATTAAATTTAATGGGGAAAGACAGGTCAGTTTTTCATTAACAGAACTCTAATAGATAGTTCCTAACAAATGGGAATTATGGGTATGTCATCAGTGCCTCTGGACCGTGATAGGGCATGTGGCAATGAAACATGGCCTACACATTCTGTGTGTGCTACACCCTAAAACAGGTGTAATGTAGATTCACTTGTGTAGTGTTACACTAATTGTTACACTTGACTTTAATGGTGGGTGAGAGGAGGTTGATTGACTAGTGAGACCATTCCAGTTACAACTCAAAAGCTTTATTAAGATATGCAATAGCAAATACTGATTTGTATCAATAAAGACAATGCTCATGTTGTCTTGGATTCAGGGAAAAAAGATGTCCACTGGCCAGGCTTCTCTGTTCTCCTGGGGACTTAACTTGTTTTTTTTAGTCTATGCCCAATAGTTATAATTGGTTGGTTATCATATTCTAATAAATGGCCATTGATTGGTTTTGTTTGAATTTCTTTGTTTCACTGAAACTTTTAGAACTAGATGAAACTAGATCTCTTGTCAGCTTGGAAGACTTGGGAAAGTAAAGAAGGAGGGCTTCTTATCTCCTTTTCTTGTTACTTTTTTGTTTTAGTTTGGGATAGGCAACCCTTGGCATGGGTACCAAAGCATGGCACATGAAGGCATTTTGCTTGGTATGCAGGCCTTAGGGTGAATAGTGGGGAGGGGGGCAGGGCTGTGCCGCCACAAAAAGGATCAGGTCCTCCACCATCCATCCTACAAGTTGAGGTCGTGGGTGGTTTTGGCATTCTGCTCAAAAACATTGCCAAACCCTGTTCTAGATGATCTTTGACAAGGCTGCTTTGTTTCTACAAATCATCTAGGCAAAAATGCATCTATTATAGCAAATGAATATGTAATATGTTTGGTCATTCACTACTTCTAATATTTTAAGATAAAGCCATAATATAGTGCATTGTTTAATTATGCTTTGTTAGATATGTTGATGGCACTTGCTGTTCAAGCTGGTTGTTACATCTGCAAAGATTCACACTACAATAACTCAGGCACAGGCTATGAGGCCTTCTGCTGCTTAGCCAAACTTTGCAGCTTGTCACTGCTACATAGATCAAGCTTAGGCACAGAGGTATGACTTACAGTAGCTTCATTAGTGAAGCACCCGGGGCACAACAATAACCTTGCCTGAGACAATGAATTTACTGATATGCAGTGTCACTCCAAAATGGGTACATTTCAGGGTATAATGCGTGTGGAGTGGCCACACCATGCTTCGCTCAGACATCTTCCAGTACACATGTCCTCACAGGCAGAGAACCTAGCAACTTTCTTCTACCTGAACATAACTTATCTGTACTACCTATTTCTTATTACCTAATTACTAACCTCTTCTAGAGTAACTGCTTTCAGCTACTTACTAACTCTAAATGTTCATGTTCCCAGACAATCTACACCTATTGATTTAAAAACCACAAGAAAATTGTTGGCCCCAGACCCTTGCAAAGGCAGTAGCAAGACCTAGTTCTTTAGTACAAGTAGTTCTTTGTCTCCATTCCTGTACATAGTGTTGCTTCCATGCCACAAGTCTCACCAAGATACTACCAGCTGCAGCTTGCTTGCTGGCAGCAAAAGCCACAGTGCTCAGTCACGGGATATGGCTGGGGGAGGTTTAACACAGGACTCTGCCATCTTGGCAGCTGCGTGGCATGTGCAGTGCCTTCAGGTTTTTCCAGTAAAGAAAACAGCTTCCCTGCTTAAAACAGGCACCCCAATTTAAGGTGCTGGTTTGGGGGGAAAAAGGTATGTCTTGTATGTGACAAAATATGGTGTTCTGTACCCAATACTGTGGATTCTGATGGTGGCTTGCCAACTTAAATGAAATGAAGACCTGATTTGAATCCATTAGTTCCATACAAACAAGGTTACATCACAAAAAAGCACCATAATTGTCAAGACTCGAATATTAAGAATTAAACAAATATGGAGGCTGAATTTCTTCCCTAACCTTTGACATGGTTCCTTCAGATTAGGGTTCTGCTACAATATCCGGGTTATGTGGAAAGTGCATGTTGCTCCTTCCCAAGTTGCAACTGTGCTGTGTGTAAAAAAAAGAACTTAATTTTTCAGGGATATCCACTTTCAGGAGTACTAAGGCACAGGTTTAGTTAAGTATATGATTAATGTCAGCCCCATGAGCAATGCCATCCCATTTTCCAACACCCTTCAGTGTATGCTTCTTGCTTACTTAATTTTTTTGTTGAAAATGAACTAAATATTGGCAGCCCACCTAAACCTTGAGATAAGCAGCAGGTATGGGGATGCTGTATTCCAAGAAGACAGAATCACCCTGGCATTGTTGCAGCAATTCTAAAATGTCAGATTAATAAACAGCATGAACATCATGCCAATATCTTTTTAAAAATATGCTTCCAATATCTCAGCTCAAAGACATTTTTAGCCAAGCACCCCTAATCCTTAAGGACTTGTTCTAGTGTTGTAACTACTTAGCTTTGCTGCTCATTCACACAGGAATTCTACTCTAATCTCCTGGGCCTCTTGTTGAAGATGAGTCACTGTGCAGCAAGGAATGCAAGAATTATGAGACTAGAAGCAGAGCAAGGGAGAGGAACATGACTCTATAGTCAGCAATAAGGAAAGTCATCAGAATTCCTTGGGCTCCTATTTCTGCTGACAGAATTATTTCTAGTTTTATCCAGTGCCTACGTAATGTAAAAATGCAGAAAGAACCCAAAGGGACCAGAACCTAGGATTCCTTTCTCTTGGATGAATACTTTAATCACTATCCATGTTCTTTGCTCTTGTTCTCTTTGCCAATTAATCTTGAATTTCTTGTTTCACAATAGTCTAGGTTCAAGAGGAGGGATGGGCAGTGTCTATTAGGGTAACCATTGGTCCTGTTTTATACTAGACCATCTTGTTTTTCAACCTTTTGTCCCCTGTCCACTTCTAAATGAGGAACAGACTGCAAAAAGTCCTGTTTTACAGTTCATTGGTGGAAATACATGTCAATCATTTTTCCTCGCGATTCTATTGGCTGTGCATAGAGGTAGGGTGGTGCATAGCCAGAAGCAGCAGGATTCTGAGCTAGTCAGGGAGAGAGAGAGGTGGCCTTTTTGTGGTCTGCATCAGAGGAAAAGGAGCCCACGCAAGGAATCATTCCTAACCATGATGTAGTTTGGGGGTGCTGGCTTCTAGGTTATTTTTAACACACTACAGCTGTGTTAGTCTAAGTACATAGGCAGACAAGGTGCTTTGAGTAAATTATATCACATTTACCCAAAGCACTTTGTCTAACCATGACATAAGATTTCTGCATCATGAACAGGAAGTCCCCATTACTGGCTCCGGGGAACTGCTCTGCTCCCCAGCCCCGAGTCTTGTGCTAGGAGGATTATTGCAAAATCCATTGCGTGAGGCTCCATTACAGGAGGATTCTAGTCTATTAGGCTTAGTATAGTCCAGATCCAGGCTTAGCAAAAGGGGGAGGCGGGACCAAAGCGGCGTGCTCACGGACCGAAGTGGCGCGCTCCTGGACCAAAGAGGTGCACACACGGATTGCTACACCTTAGAGGGAACATTGGATGCAGGGCCAGGGAGGGGTTAACTTGGCTCTTGGTTGTGACACCTAACACCTCCTCTAATAGTAGTCTCCTGCCTCTGCTCCTTTCCACACAGCCCTGCTGCCTGCATTCCTGTAGGCTGCCCAGGGCGTGCATGCCACACGCAGCAGTTGCCCATGCCACTTGTGGCACATGTGCTGTACATGACTATCATAAAAAGGAAAAATAAAAGTTAAACAGTGGGATGCTCAGGAGCATGGGACTGGCAAGGGCCTCATAGGCAACCATTTGTTTAAATTTTCCACTCCAGTCCCTCACATCTATCATAGCTATAGAACATCTTATTGAAACAAAACAAAACAACCCTACAACATGGCACAGGTAAGAAGCAGAGACAACAAGGCTGCTTCAGATGTCCTGCCTCTGCAATGGTAGAGAAGGCATTAGGCCAAAACATGTTCAAATGACCCTCAGGAGAGGACCATTTTGCATGATATAGAAAAAGGCAAAAATCTCCACAGTGTTTGAAATATGACCTGATTAGTTCAGTTATTCAGAGCATGGTGTTAATAATGCCAAGGTCATTGGTTTGATGTCCTTATGGGATACAAGACCTGTCCTGTCTTAGTCAGGGGTTCGCACTAGATGACTTCTTGAGGTCCCTTCCAGCCCTACTTCTCTAGGATTTCCTTCCTGATCCAGAACTGGTAATGAATTTGACCTTGAGTGGAAGAGTAAAACCTTCTAGCCAGGTTACCCAAAAAGTTTCTAAGTACCACCAGGAACACCAGTGCAACAGTAATTCAAACTCTATCCTAGAGCTGTTATCTTTAGAGGAAGCCAACACCCTCAAACTGCACCTCCCAAAAATAACCTAGAAGCCAACAGAGCAATCAAACAAGGGACACATTCCTTCTTGGCCCTTATATAGAAAAACAGAAACCCTGAAGCATGGGATTCCTGGATACCTCCCACAAGGAGATCAGACTTCCTTTCAACGCCATCATGGGAGTACCAAATGCATGAATCTGCTTACCACATGCTCCAAACATACCTTCTCTTGTCATAAAATCTCTTCTGTAGGCTGGGGACGTTTCATCTTGAAGTGATTCAAAGTATTTCCTTCTCTCTTTTTGGAAAGCCATCCTAAAATTTTATTCTTGTGAAGGGCCAGAAGGCCCTGTCCAGTCCTTTGTTCTTATATAATAGTTCTTTTACTTACAGCTACCTATTCTTGGCTACTGTCTGGCGATTCCCTACTCTGAGACACTTATTTATCCACTAGTTCAGTACCTAGTGGTGATCTTAGGCCAGTGGTGCTCAATCTTTTGGCCCCATGGGCCAGATGAGTTGGATTGGTCCATAGACTGGATTGCACTGGGATCCAGTCTAATTAGGCCCTGTGCTACCTCCATTTATTCCTGTGTGCTTGGATTGGGTCCTGTGCTGCCCAGTGCACCCAATGTAATGTGCAAGGCTACGACCTGCAGAGCTCCCCAGAAACCCATAGCCAAATGATATGGTGCTGGGGGCCAGATTTGGCCTGTAGGCTGGGGGTTGAGTATCCATGGCCTAGGCACTTAATTCCAGGGTTTCAGTAGACTCTGGGGTCCAGGCACCTAAAATTTAGACATTACCACAACCCTTTTAAGTACCCTAATCAAAGATTAGGATTCCCTTGTCTTTTGCTTTCTGCTTCCTCAGACTTCTAGTATGATACTATTTTAGTTAGTGCCCAAACAACAAATATTACTGATGCAACTGCAGAAAGAATCAGGTTAAAACAAAGGAAAAAATTTTCTGCAGAATTATTGCTTACGAAAGTATTTTGTTATATTTAAGGACCTACCTAAAATGTGGTGGAAGTGCACTATATAGTGGCTCTTTTAATTTTGCTATTTTAGCCACATGTCTAGCCCCCCTCCCCCCACCCTACTGCTGATTGGTGGAGGGGCCCTATTGGCCCTGCTGCTTAACACTCACTGCTCATCAGGCAGGAGGCAAAAATTGTGATTTAAAATATGCTGCGGTTTAAAAATTTTCCTCTCAGTTGATCAGCAGTAAGTGGTAGGGCCACCAGGGCCCCTTGGCCAATCAGCAATGGAAGGCAAAAACAGGCATAGTTAAAACCATGATCTTTGCCTCCCAGCTGATCAACAACAAGCAGCAAGCAACAGGGCCAACAAGGGCCCCTCCACCAATCAGCAGCAAGGTGTGGTGGGGAGGCACATGGTGAAAACAGCAAGATTAAAGGAGCTGGACTTCCACCACAATTTAGATAGGTCCCTAATTACATGCTCATTTCAAGATCAGCTATGCTACGTTTTGTTTATGGTGAATACTTTCACTCCACCTTTCCTAATTTCCTAAAAAAAACCAATTGTGTCATTGATCTGTGATTTCCATTAGTGTTACGCTGCAAATGAGAAAAATTGAAAGGAAAAAAGTATTCTGCTGAATAGCTTTGACACATAGCTCAGCTATTCCCTGTTTAGATTAAGTGCCTACCAATGATAGCACTGGTATGTTACATTCTGAGATCACAGAATTTTATAGCATTATTGCAGCCAATTTTGTGACTGAACAGTAAAACAAAAAACATGAACATTATGCAAAAATATATATTATTGGACTCCAATAATAATTCAATTGATTGGTATTTTAACCAGTCTCTCCCAATCCTCAAGAATTTTTTCTAGTATTGCAGTTTTGTTGCTCACTTGTACAGTAAATTATATTGCCGCATTTTGGTTCCAATTTTTCTGTCTGTGTGGGTGGAACTGAAGACATTCCACTAAAGTCTCTGAAACATTGCACCAACTTATTTACAAGAAATGAATTTCTGTCCTGCTGCCTTTGAATCTTTCATGCATTGCAACTGCTAATTTTCTATACCTAATGACATAGTCATCAATTCTTATTCCCGAGAATAAGAATTCTTATTCCCGAGAATAAGAATTCTTATTTGAATTCTGCTTCCTGTTTTCTTAGTCTTATTTTCAGTTATTGTTTAAAACAACATCTTATTGATACAGATGCAGAGGGGATTAGATTAACAGAATGGTGCTATACTGCATAATTATTGGCTAGGAACACTTTTCATCTAATTTTAAAATCCCCTGAGCTATTTTTTAAATTAATATTTTCATTCCTTCTGTTCTATTGTCTTTTAAATCAATTGCATATATGAATCTGTGTTCCTACTGGTGGTGCAAAGCAAAGGCAAAATTAGAAAGGAAACAATATTCTGGTGCACAGCTTAAGTGTATATCTCAGATATTCAAAATTTAAATTGGATGAAGTTTTTCACTCAGTGCTCAGCCTGTAGAGTCAATATATAAGTTAAGAATTAAGAATATTCTACCTAACAATGTTAGATTTTGAATGAACTGCAAAGTTTCTTATGAATTCTATACTGATTCATGTTAAATACATCGCAATAGATTTTTGTCATATTTCATTTTGCAGAGGGGAAGTAGAAAATGATGGTATAGAGGATTACCTAATAAGATTAATTCAGTCAATTATATTTTGGCCAGGATGATTTCTAAGAGTTTTGCAAAAGGCTATGGTTACTTGCAAGTGAGCAAGATCATTACCTATTTAGAGCAATTTTAAGGTCCCTTTATGCTGCCAAAGCACTGTATAAATAGTTCTTTGTACTAATAAAAGCTTTTATAAACACTACAGAATGGTTGCACAAATGGAAACTAGCTGTTATCAGACCTTTTGCTACACGTCTCATTCTCAGATCTAAACTCACACTTTCAATTTAGATCCCGGTTTGGGTCCCCAACTTTTTATGTTTCTTGTTAGAATGCAGCTGCCAGCTCACTGAGATCTGAGTGCCAGTGTGTAAGTCTATACATACATTAATGCACTGTAATTATGGTGCATTAAGTTTAGTACAAGTAATTACAGGTGCTGCCTTAATGCACCATAATCGGTGTTACTGCTCATTAGCGCCAGTGCATGTTTTTTTGGTGCCACTAATACCCAGTAGACTAATTCTACTGTACATTAGTGCATTGGTATGGGTTTGCCTGCCATGCTAAAGTGCAGTAGAATTAGTCTACTGTGTTTGAATCTTATGTGGATGCGACCAAGTATATCTGAACCCAAGCCCTGATTCAGCCTTAAAACTGAACCTCTTAGTGGGCTAGTTTTGTAACAGGCTCTCACATTGCATTGTTCGTGCAAGTCTACTTAAGCTCTCTAATATTTCACAAGAAAAGTATTATTTCCAGAAGCCTCCTTTTGGAAATCATTATTTATGTGCAGAATTGAATAAAAAACTAAAACCTTGACTATCAAAAGGCAACACTCAGGCACTGGGATAGTTCTAAGGACAGATAATTACAAAAGCATGCTTTTTAGGCTCATGATATCTTAAATGATGAGTTTATAAAATATGAAAATAATTTTCAAAGTTTAGAAAGAAAATCTTTTTATCTTCTAATGTTCACTACAGAAAAATGTGTGACTCATTTCAAACTTTCAGGGAATTTTTTTTGTCTTGGATTAAGCATATGAAGCTTCAGACTGAAACGATTTTTGTGCGTGGTTTTAGTTTTTCCCCCAAAATCTGGGGATCTACACAGAGAGGAATAACACTCTGCTTGTAATAGAAATGTGTCACTACAGTTCCATATCACTAGATGATGACTATAAGCTTGATGTTGAATGACTAGTGTGAAACTTCTATTAACCCAAAATTCCAATTTTACTTCAGTCCATACTGTGAAATCATCGCACTCTTCCGCAACCACTCCTTTGGTCAACAAGTCAACAACGAAGCGTTCTCCTAAAAATGGAAAGAAGAGGACGCCAAAGAAAGTAGTAGAATCCCATGAAGTCATGGAAGGTAGGAAAGAGCATGAATGCAAGAAGACTGGGTGTTACCTGAATTAATATTAACGGTCATTTCCCTGTACTGGAAGTAGAAAGCTAATATGAAACATTACCAGACAGTTACCAAATTTGGGAACATTCAGCTAACTCATTACATCATCTAGTTTTCAGGGAAAACCTGAATGACTTTTTAAGATGTATTCCAGTTAATATAAATGGTAAAAAGATGTGATGATCTCTTCTTGTTCCCTAGTAGATTTTCATCCACATCTCAAAAGCATTCTACACACACCAGTGGCAGTTTCAGAAAAAGGCGAAGGCTGTAATGATTTGGGTGTTCCAGGTTAGAACAGCAATGAATTGGCAAATCCAGGAAAGGAAACCTAAAGGGGAAGTGTCTGTAGATCCTTTCAAGCCACATGCATACAATTTCAGAAAATACCCCTAATCCCTTCTTTCTCAATGGAAAACACAAAGCATCTTTTCCCCCCCTTGTGTTCTTTTATATGATAGTTTACCATTTTATGTCATAACATACTAGATAGTAGGTGATCTTAAGGTAAATATGCTTGTACTTCATGGGATGGTTCCACACCTGACATAATTCCTTTTATTTCAATACCATTAGAGCTGGGGTGAATTCTGACAATCGCTGCAAAGGTTTAAAATAAACTTTTGAAATATGCAGTGTTTCCCCATTTCTCCCTACAGTAATTTTCTTCTGATATAATCAAAACTTGTGTGGGTCAAAACTTAGGGCTTGGAAGTGAAGGTGATTCACAAGAGGACCTAGGGTTTATGAAGAGGCCCAACATATCAGAAAGTTTGAGAACAACTGTTCTCTTGTTTATTTTTAAATGTCTCCAATAAAGTTTACATGCTCTGAAACATAATTGTCTGAATATCTCTCTGGGAGACTGAATTAAAATGTCTTTAGTTCCATGTAGTTTCTGGTTAGGTAATATATACATAGATATATATCTGCTCAATAAAGTCACAACTGGTAAGATGGCTATCTCCTACTAACTGCTGCTTCCATCTGCTGCTAGCTTGAGGGGAGTAGAAGGTGGGGGGCAAGAAAGTTTAAATTTTTACTGTTTCTTTCTTATTAACTACTTCAAGTCTTTATGTTCAAAAGCAATTGTGTTGTAAACTGACTGTGCATTAGCATTTTGCACAACTACATTTTGCATGACTTCTGGTTTTCAATAATTATTTTATTTGGCTGCAGAACATTCACAGTCTGAGAAACAGAATTCTTCTTCCTCATCGTCTTCCTCCTCCTCCTCCTCAACAATTCGGAAGACTAAGGCTTCATCAAGAAATTCCAGTGAAAACATCCCCAAAAAGAAAAATAATAAAAAAAATGATAGAGAAGTAAAGGATACCAGAAATGGTATGGATTGTGGTGAAATGGCTTAGTGTAGAAATGAACTTTAAACAATAAAAGCCATGCTTGTCACAATGCATGCTTAACTTTCTCCACTGAAAAGTTTTAAGACTTTGTCACAAACTATCAACACTTTGTCATGACCCCTACTTTTTTTTTAGTTTAGAATCTGATTAAAGCTTAGTGTGTTGACCATAACACTGTGTTGCTCCACTAAGGTCAGTACAGTCTGTACAGGTCCAGGGTCTGTGCACTTTGAGGAACATGCAAGACATTCCTCCGAGTGCACAGATCCTGAACTCCCAGGATCTTAGTGAGGCAGAGATTTTCAGCACTGATGGCATCAGGTGCACCCCATGAACACATAATACCATCACACCTAAAAGTCCTATGTTTAAGCATGCATTCTATAGCTGCATGTATAGTTACCTATTTGGATTAAACTGTCATATATACGGTTTTGATTAACAAGTTCTGAAAAGCTGACCTATTACACATGAACAGTAGTATGTGGTGAGAGAGTTGCTGTTGGCAATTCATGTTGGAATGGCATGACATGGCAGGCCAGTGATGGGAATGACTCGTAGAATTAATTACAGTACAACACAGTGCAAGTCTCTATCAAACACTTGCAGAACCTATTATCAGTGGTACACAAGATGGTAAGAATCCAGTTTCATTGTCAGAGCCAGGCTGAGTTTTCAGAGCTGGCAGTCAGCTAAAAAAATGTATTTTTACTGGTAAACTGGGAGCATTTGATATAGAACTCATGAAGGGACAAGGGATACAGAATTTCATATTACCACCTCCAGAGTTGTTTTCAGAGCAGAACCATTTCTTAAAGGTTTGCACGGAAAGAGGACCACAATTAATATAATCCCATCCTAAAGTTACTAAAGAGTAAAAGTCCCCATTTTGCCAATATCATAGTTTTTTCTTTTCTAGTTCTCAGTATCCACCAGAAATACCATCTCCTTTTATATTAAGAAGAAAAACATCTTCTTTCCCATTTAATGTGGCAACTTAAGCAACTAATATGGCAACTTTGACTAGCAGAACTGTAGCTAGCTGAGCTACACCTTTGTTCTGCACAGCCCTGTGCATATTAAGATTTGAAAAATATTAGGAGCACTTAGATAACTTTCTAATTGTGGGAGGAAAGCTGGACAACTCAACACACTGGAACCCAGCTTCTTAAGAAGAATGAGAAAGAGGCTTTGCCACTTCGGAGTGGCTTTGGAGCATTTACTGACTGAGCAGAGTCATGCCCCTGAGAGCATCACAACAGACATTATTATGGAGCTATTCTTACAAGTATATTCAGAATAGAGATGCTGATGCAGCAATACTCTCAAAATTGCCAGGTCCTGGGAAATGGCAAAATTCCTTTTGAATCTTTGAATATTTTTATTACAAGGAAAATATATCATTAGCTTTGTACGGTCAAAGCTGAGATTTCTTAGTAGGCATCTTTTCCAACCTAGCAGTATCTATTGTGATCTGTGTTTGTGTTAGCAGCTAGATGAGGTAATAGTATCTAACCTTTAACTGTCTTAGAGACTTGCTATTTATTAGTACTCCAGGTTATTAGTACAATTAATGGATAGGCAAAAATTGAAGGGGCCTGTGGTTGGATTCTCACAGTACTCCCCATTACTCCATACACACAGTAAAATCATCTATGCCTGTTTATAGTTAAAGTTGCAATGATTTACCCAAAAGTGTTACTTTAAACTGAATTAATCAAACCACAGTAAAGCCTTCCATGGATGGTTGTAATTTAACTTAAATCTAGTTTGTATTTAGTTTAAACAGTTTTTTCTCTTGACAAACTAAATTAAATTTGATATAAACTACATATTTGATATAATATATATTTGATATGATATAAACTATATTAAAACAATATATTTAGTTAAATTGTCTGTGTGGACACTTACTTCAATTTACAAAAGGTGTAAATTGAAGTAAGTGTCCACACAGACAATTTAACTAAATATTGTTTTAACCAATGTAATGCAACTTTAAATATAGACTGGTCTTACAAAAAAGGAGAATGAAAGAGAGACTGCTTCTATTCAAAGGGAATTGCAACTATTTTCTACCATATTTACAAAAAATTATGGGTTACTGAATGTCAGATAAAAAAGAGCAAATATTAGACTTCTGTATACATTTAAAAAAAAGCAGTGTTTAAACTCAATTTATACTTCTTCTTTAGAGCAAGAACTGGAAAAAAGTCAAACTGATGGGCCAAGAGAAATTTATGAGGAGGTTGGCAGTGGACTGGACAATGTGGAGATCAGGCCTTCTCCCATTACAAAGGAACCTGATGAAGATATTTCAAGACTAGAAAATAAAGGTACAACAGTGGCAACTTTGTCAGAAGATCGTACTAGCCAGACCCCTACCTCTCAGTCAGATAAAACTAGCACACACCTCAAAATGGCTACTACAAAACCATTAACTACAAAAACGAATCTACCACCTAGTACACCAAGTATGGCTAAGGTCTCAACATTACCCACTACAATTAAAGACACCAGAACTACAGCTTTGAAAGTGACAACTACTGCAGATAAAGGAACAACTGTAGGTAAACAAGACACAACTACTGCAGATACAAAACCAACAACAATAGCTAAGACAAGCACTACAACAGCAGCTAACAAAGCAACAACAGCTACAGTTAACGAGCTAACAACTCCTGCTATAGTAGTAGCAACAGATAAGAAGGCTACCACAACAGCAGGTAGAGAAGAAACAACAGCGATAAGAGTCACAACTACTGCTCCTAGAGTGGCAACAGTAGCTGCTAAGGACACAACTACAGCAGGTGGAAAGGCAACAACAACGGCTAAAAGAGAGACCACAGCAGATAAAAAAGATATGACTCCTGTAGCTATAAAAGATACAACTACAGCAGTTGTAAAGACAACAACAACAAAAAAAGACACAACAGCTGTAGGTAGAGAACCTGTGTCAACAATTAAAATTGAAACACTACCACCTAAAATAGCTACACCTACTGTGGGAAAGGGGGATGTAACTACAGGAAAGAAACAAACAACACCTACAAGTAGCATGACAGTAGCTACAACAGATAAAAAAGATACAACCAGTGCAGAGGGAGACACTGTAACAAGAGCCACTAAAACTGATGCAACTAGAATGGGTAAAGTGACTGTCACTGCCACAGATGAAAAAGACACAACAGAAGCAGCAACCGCTAAAAAAGAAACAACTCCGATTGATAAAGAAATTATGACAACAACAAATGAAAAATATAAAACCACAGTTAAACCAGACATAGCCCCTGAAACTGAAGAAACTGTAACAACAGCTAAAAAAGATATAACTACTGTGGACAAAGAGACTGTAATGTCGCCTGATGAAAGAGACGTGATTACAGCTAAACCAGTCTCAACTCCTGTAGCCAGAGAGAGTGTAAAAACCACAACTAAATTAGTCACAACTCCTGCAGCTGAGGAAACAGTAACAACAATTAAGAAAGACACAACTACAGTGGGCAAAGAGACTGTAACGTCCCCTGATGAAAGAGATGTGATTACAGCTAAACCAGTCACAACTCCTGCAGCCAGACAGACTGTAAAAACCACAACTAAATTAGTCACAACTCCTGCAGCTGAGGAAACTATAACAACAGCTAAGACAGACACAACTACAGTGGGCAAAGAGACTATAATGACAACAAATGAAAAAGACATCACTACAACTACACCAGTCACACCTCCTGCAACCAGAGAGACTGTGAAAACCTCAATTAAACCAGTCACAACTGCTGTGGACAAAGGGACTGTAACAAAAACAGATGAAAAAGATCCTACAACATTATCAGCTACAAAAGACACAACCACTGTAGTTAAAGATGCACCAAAGATAGCAGATGAGAAAGTTACAGTAGTTGCGCCTAAAAAGATCAGCATGATAACAACAGATAAACCGGACAGACCTCCTGCAGTTGTGTTATCAACAGTCACAATTCGTGCAGCAGGAGAGACTGTAACACCACGACCTGCTAAGACAGACACAACAACGAAAGCTAAAGATATTCTAACAACAACTAAAAAAGAAACAACAACTGCAAACAAAGAGATTGTAACAATTAAAGATGAAAAAGACACACTGCCAGTAACAACAGATAAAAAAGACACAACTAGTGGAGCTAGAAAGAGTATAATGACAACAGCGAAAGATACTCTAAGTACCACTAAACAGATGCCTAGTGCTGCTAAAGAAACAACAACTGTGGCTATAAAATTAACTGCTGAAGGTAAAGAGACTACCACTATTGCTGAAGAAACAACAACTGAGAGCAAAAGAGAGTCTACCACAGTGTCCAAAGAGACAACTACAGGAGATAAAAAGGACACTACTACTGCAGCCAGAGAGACAAGTGTGGCTGATACAAGAGAGACAACTACAGCAGGTACAAGAGAAACACCTTCTACTGATAAAGAGGGGAGTACAGATGGTAAAAAAGAGATCACCACTGTTACCAAAGTTAAAATTGCAGTGAAAAAAAAAGAAAAAGAAGCTGCCACAAGAGAGTCTTCATCAACTGAAAAAAGACAGACAACTACTGTTATCAAAGAAACAACCCCAATAGATAAAAAAGAAACACCACCTAATAACAGAGAGGCAATTACAGAAAATAATGACAGAACCACCAGTACCACCCCTGAAGAGACACCCACCACAGATAAAGTCTCCCAGGGAAGTTCAGCCTCACCCATACAAGATGAACCCACTGTCACTCAAATCCCACTGGTAAGAGCCACCGCCAAAACCACCATTGACCAAAGAACTAACAAGCCTATGATACAAATTACAGATTCCCCTATTTTCCCGGGAGAGACACCAGGTAGTCATTTTCCTTCAAGAGAAAAAGCAAAGACAGTACCAGATGCTCCAGTGGAAAGCACAACAGGAGTTGAATTGATCGAAGAATACAAAAGGCCTCTCCCTACACAACAAGATAGAAACAAAGTTACTTCCCCAAGGAGAAATACTATTTCTCCACTGGTTGAACAAGAAGGTAGAACCATGGCCAAAACACCTTTCCTAACTACTGAAAAATCCAGCCCATATATAGTTACCGAAAAAAGAAACATCTCAAACCCTAAGAAAGGACCCAGCTCATCTCCCCTTTCTGTGATGCCACATCTAGAAGCTACTGTTACTGTGCCTACAAACTTTTCTACGACGCGGCTCAAAGAACCATCCAATACAAAAGTTCAGTCTAAAACCACTGAGGAAACTTTTACTAAAGGAATGGTAGCAACTCCTGTTTCTAAAGAGACCACGCAAAACTCTGCACATACGCACAGTAGACATCCTACCACCAAGAAAAACACACCACCACCTACAACTGAAAATCTGCAGAAACCAACACGTCCAATTATTCTTGAACAGGAGGAACCTAAAGGTAATACGTTTGATCCAACGCCTGTTCCAGACAGAACTTTACCTCACAGAAACACAGGCAGCCCAAAAGAAACCCCTGATCCTTTTGAGGGACCCACACAAAATCCTCACTCTCCAAAAGAAGATGATTTCAAGGAGAACCCAGAAACATTATTCACAACTTCTTTTCCACCTAATCCTAAAGGCAGTGATGCAAGTAAACAGTTGGAAAGCAGTACCCCCAAATCAGAGATGACAAGAACCACAACCTCTAATCCTGCTCTCTCTCGAAAGCAAGAAACAACACACAGCGTTACAGCTAATCCCCAAACTGATCTTGTTTCAGATAGAGAAACTACCAAGAAAAGCCCAACAGATAACACAAGCACTTCAGTAAAATATACTGTAACAACTTTAACCTATACAACTGATAGGACTGCACATCATATCCCTACATTGCCTAGCAGATTCATAAGGAATGAAGAAAGAGAAGTTAAACATTTCCCCACCGAAACACCATTTACATCTTACTCAACAAAAGCTCCTGAAAGAAGTACTATGAAACATGCAAACTTTAATCTCTCCAACCCAAAGGATGACAAAAACAAGCCACTGGTTAAAAAAGGTATGTTTATTTCTTTATAATTGCACATTTTCTGGGGCATTACTGTCTAAATTTCTGAAATAGACAAAACATGACCCTATTTTGGGAGTCAAATGTTTCTGAAGAGATAACTGGAATTAAAGTCTTGAAGTAACAGGAAACAGGCAAAGCACAACAGGTTCAAAGAATAAGAATCACAGGAGTTTTCCAAGTAACATGAAAGTATTTCAGCCAGTCATTGAATGGCTTTCAAACCTTACTCATGTAACCAAATGATATACATTTTATAGTCTCACATGTAATAGAAGGCAAAGCAGCCCCTTGGTTCTACTTTTCTTTTAGCCTTATATTGCAACGTGGCACCCATCTCTGGTACATATTGTACTGTAGTTAGATTTTAGCCTTTTTATTTTCCTTAGTTTTTCAAGTCCAGATTTTCCTAATATGTCACAATAACTAGGTATCATCAGAGTTGCATTGTCTGAATTAAAAAGAAAACTAGAGTCTTAAACTAGCCCTAACAGTTGCTAATGTGAATGGTATCTAAAGTCTTCTTACAATGGAAAAAAAAAAAAGGTAGGAAAAATACTATGTGGTACCCTCTTTGTTCATATGTGGGAATAGAGAATTCAGATATATTTTTATATCTTTAATTGTTGTAAATGAAAAGAGATGGTTAAAAGCAGAGGAAAGTCCGCCTCTCAGGTTATCTAAGATAACGACGTGCTTAAACCTGTATTTGTTCATCTGTATGACTGAACAAGGAGACAGATCAGGTTTACAATGCCAGACTAGCTTTTTCTGCAGTTTTTCTGCTTCTAATTCCAGCCAAAATGAAGATGTTCAGATAAGTATAAAAATTGAGTAAAAAAGATGAGATGTTTCTGGAGAACTCTTATTTGAGCTGATTAAGATTCTTCTTGTCCTTTAAATACTTTTCACTTAGAGATGGAAAAGGATGGAAAATGAAATGAGTCTTAAGGACGAGTTAATCATTGGTTATTTTTTACAGTGTATTTACAATTCTTTGTAGCTTTTCCCCTGAGATTCTGGTACTCCTAATACAAATAGAAGAAAACTTACAGAGTTTCCTATAAACATATCACACGTATTCTTGGGTACATAAATGTCAAGGTTAAATCTGTGAAAAACACGCCTTGAATTAATACGTTGTAATTATTCATAAGGCAAGTATTAGATTCTTTATTTTTACATTCTATTCTTTAGTCTTACATTTTGATATAATAAACATTTTATGCAAATTATTTCATACTAGATGATTCAGATGGGAAGAATTTGTGTAACAAAAAGCCAGCAGATGGGATGGTTGCTTTACAAAATGGAACATTAGCTGTATTCCGAGGTGAGATTTGGGGTATTTTCACTATTTGACTTTACTTTTTTAATGAAATGTTACTTTCTGGCATTTTCAAATGCTCAGATACTGCATGTTTAGCCTACTGTGCATCCAAGATTACTTCCTAGTATCAATAATTTGCAAGTTTGGTGATATTTTGAGGACTTTTTCCTGGTTCATAGGAGAACAGGGGGTTGGACTCAGTGATCTAATAGGTCCCTTCCGACCCTAAAATCTATGAATCTATGAAGCTGTGACTTCAAGATGAGTTTGCCAGAGCATCTGACAAAGTATTTGCCTTTATGGAAGCACCTCACTCACAGCAACTACCCAACACAAGGAGGAATAGTATTGTAAAATGTTCCATGGTTCACTTAGTAAGTAACTGGATGAACCTCAAGAAATGTATGCCCCTAAGGTTTATTTTAATGTAGCTGCTACCAATATATAATAAATGAACAGTTGCTTTTATAATTGCAGATTCTTGCTAAATTACTGCTTGCTTGCTAATGCTTCATAATTTAAGATTTTGTTTAAAAAATCTCTAGTACTTATGACTGTAGAATAAACTATCCAGGTGTAACTGCTACAATAATGTCTTTAACGTAAAACATAAAACTGCGTATCAAAACAAACATAGCTAAGTATCCCTGTACTGATTAGGGGGATGAAATAGTGATGTATAACTCTGGGAACAATGACACATTATTAAGGTCTGTTTTCGTAGGTACAGTAAAGGTTAGAAAGAAACTATGGAACTTTCTTTCTCCAGATCCATAATTCATGTCCTCACTCTTAGCAACCCCAACTTTTTTGCCTCCAGGAATAATCTGCCTACTCCCATCACTGCTCACTTCTTTAATATGTTAACACTGCTCCAACAAGCAGCTGCATAAACTAGCATGCCGCCTCAATGACTCCAAGGATACTTACAGTTATTAAACTTGACATAAATTGAGGCCCTACTGATTTTAAGAAAAGGGTAAAATTAAAAGAAGGAGCATAGGTAGGAACTAAGAATACTCCAAAAAGGCTAGGAAATGAAAGGTAACAAATATGCAAATGAATAATGCCTCAAGAATAAATACTCAGGCATTTTGGCTCACCTAATAATCATGTCTCATTTAATAAACAACCAGGAGCCCACAGACAGACCACAGTAATTACTGACAGCCGCCAAGTCCCCTTACAGGCCACGGCAATTCAGTGGCTACACAATGCTGGCAAAGGTCTGTCCACTGGCTGGGAACTTAGGTCCAAATCCTGAAAAGGTATTCAGACACTTCACTCCTGTTAAAATCACTAGAAATAAACACTTAAATACCTTTGGAGATCTGACCTGGGTGTTCCCAATTTCCCCAGACTAGGCCTACCTCACCCCAGAACCCTTTCTTGTTTGTTTGCTCATTATACTGACCATTTACCTCTGTGCAGACATCAAATTGTGAGGAGGCATATTAGCTTTTGGGGCAGAGCTAAGACATAGAGGGTATGTGTACACGAGACGCTTCCAGCCCAGTAGACTAATTCTACTGCTCAGCGCAGTGGGCAAAACCGTGCAGTAGAATGAGTCGGTACAAAATACAAAGGATTGGGGGGAGGGAGTGGCGGTGATGACAACTACTCCTGCTTTTTGGCTGCCACAGCAGCAGACCCCCCTCCTCCCAAGAATCGTAGTGTAATTCGAACCCTGGAGTTAGTTTATTGTGCATTATCGTCACCAAAAAAGTGTGCACTGATGCTAATGCACGGTAGCGCCTATTATGGTGCATTAAGGTAGTACATGTAATTACAAGTACTAAACATAATGCACCATAATTACAGCACATTAATTAATGTGTAGATGTACCCAGAGTTATTCAAACCTGGACCTTTCTTTGACTTTGCAAGGCTTGGCAAATGTTGCTGTCAGGCAGGCCATGCTCTCAGAGTATCCCGCTCTTACAGCTGGTTTTAGCCTGTGACTTGGTAAGTGTGGGAGAGTGGAGCAAGGGAGCCAGGGTCTTTTCTGAACTTGATACCTTTTGTAACGGAAGTGTTTGGGGCCAGCTAGCTCAGGATGAATCCCTTACCTTGAAACTGGTTGCTTTGGGCTAGCTGAGCTCCTCTTGCTGAAAGCTAACTGGGTTTGTTTCTGCACTAGCCTTGTAGATGCAATCTGTTCCCTTTCCCTGAACAGCACATTTTTTGAGCTCAAAGCCTTGTTTAAATTAATTCCCAGATATGACATATTTTGTTTTTTCTGGCCCAGCATTGTACACATAATGCTCCTGTTAGGCACCTGTAATTTGGCAACTTGTTGGAGGTCATTTCTATCCCTTGCTTGCAAACTGCTAATGTCTCAGCTGTTGCTATCTACAGTAGTAATTCTCAACTGGGGTGTTGCATGCTCCCTTTGAGGGTGCCACAGGGTGCCAGGAGATAAGTACTTACTCTTTCCATCACAGCCCCTATGTAAGGAGGTAAGTACAGGGTCATCTCTGCCTGACTGCAGTGCAAGAAGGTAAGCTCATGGAACTAAGTGCTCAGTCTTCCTCCTTCCTCCCCTTCTGTGCCAGGAGGTCAGTACAGGCTCCTCCATGACCATAAATGTCCCTGGTCCACAAGGAGCTAAGTGCTCACACCTCTTGCCCTCTCAAGAGTTAAGTACTGTAATAAATAAATTAGTTACTAAATTGGGATGCTACTAAATTCATAGGAGTTATGTAGGGGTATTGAGAACCTAAAAAAGATTGCTAGTCACTAGTCTACAGGAACTACATGCGAGCTAGTTGCAGGACAGGCCTGATCCTGCAAAATGCTGAATATCTTCCATTCCCTTTGTCTCTAAGGCACTGAAGGACTGAATAGCTGCAGAGGTTGTGCTGCCATTTCAAAGGCAAGGTGGCTCATTAGTCCTTCATGTCTGGAATTTTTAATTATGACATTTTCTATAATATGCCTTTCTTTTTTAATATAAAATGCGTCAACAGGGGCAAGTGGTATATGTTAGCAAGGTTTTCCAGAGCTTTGTTGCTTCTTATTTTTTGCAGGTCACTACTACTGGCTGCTGAATCCCGATAGCCCGCCAACAGTTTCCCCTCGTAAAATCAGTGAAGTGTGGGGTATTCCATCCCCCATTGATACAGTCTTCTCCAGATGCAACTGCGACAGCAAAACTTTCTTCTTAAAGGTAGGGGATCTAATTTTTCTCAAAATGGGAAAATAACATAGGATTGAATGGCTCAGGAATAGGAAAGCCGCATTAGGCTAGTTAGCAGCCAACACACTTAAATTCCAGTTTGCCCAAACTAATATTTTTGTTAACAGTCTCTGGAGAGAAGCTAAGGACTGAATGGATGTACAGACTGAATTAACTCATAGAAGAATTGAGGAGGACATTGGTATGGCATGATGGGCAGCAAGAGTGAAATCTGTGTTCTTTATGCTTTATGAATAGAGTGCTTATGTTTTCAGAACTGACAAGGTGGATTCATGTGCACTAAAACACCTTCTTATAATTTAGTTATTGGAATGAGAACACCATAGATTCAAAATACAGCACTGTGTAGGCTATAAAACTACTGCCCCCACCATACTTTAACATGATATCCTTCCTTACTGCCATACTGTGCATTTAGGGAAATAATTTGAAACAGGCAGAACAGTCTCTATTGTTCAGTGAAACAGGCAGAACAATCACAGCTGCTGTAAGGCTTCCATTTATAGTCACATATGAGCAAATAATGGAAGTGGGAAGCGGAAGCCTGTTCCTGGTTATCTGTTACTTGCAGCCCTCTAGCATGCAGCAAGTTACCTTGGGTGAAGTAGGGGTGGCACTGGGCTAGGCCCAGCAGCCTTACCTGGGGTTTCTGGGATCCTTCTGGAGCTGCAGCAGAGATCCTGTTGCGCAGAGTCTGACCAGCAGCCAGAATATGGCTCTGGCCAGCTAGGGTCCGTTTTTGAGCAGTGTGCACTGCCTCCACGTGCACCGCTCCACTTTTTATTTTTCTGTGGGGTTTTTTTTTTTTTTGGGGGGGGGGTTGACCCCTGGGTATCCATGGGTCAAACCCCCCACCCCCACACTGCTTCCTTGCAGTACAGAGACCCAAACGTGCAGTATGTGGTGCTGTGGATGTGTCTGCAGTGCCACATACTGCACAGCTGCGCTCATCCGGACGTGGCCAGGCAGAGGATGGGCTGATTGGAAAACCAAGCATTTTACAGGAAAACTTCATATGAAACATTCTAAAAAACACATGGACTCCAGCAGAAAATTTCAACATGAAAAGCTTTGTTTTATTCTGACATTTAGGAAACTGCCAAATGCTTTTCTCTTCCTGGTTTTGAATTTCCTTGCTCTATTCTTTCCTTCCCTTTCTTCCTTTCTTGTGCTCCTGATATCCAGAGCAAAAGGAGGGCATAAGGTACATGACAGAATTAAAACAAACATTACTTTTAAAATGTAGATTTGAAATGAACTTGTTCCTAAATTTGCCATAGAAAAAGCCAAAGGATCATAAGAACTCAAGTGTCTCACTGGGTCAGGCAAATGGTCCATCTAGCCCAATATCCTATCAGGGTCCCCCCCCCCTGCCACACTTGCTTTGAACCAATGACTTTTACTCTTGTCCATTTTATCTTTTTGTTGTCCCAACCCATCACTGGTGTGCCCAGTAGCCCCCCTCATCAGCGGGGGCTTATAAGCTCTTCTTGTTGAGCTTCAGCCCATGTTCTAGAATGGCACATCAAAAGGCCTGTCAACAGTGCACGTAGTAGATCCTTTACAGCCTGAGTATATTTACGGGGCATGTCTAGTGTAATCAATCCCGTCATACCCTGCTTAACATTCGCTATCATTGATTTAAAGATACGTTAAAGGCTACATCCCTGTTTCAGTAGATTTCAAATGGACCCATCCTCCATTAATTTGTCTAAGCCCTTAGTAAACTTGAAAAGTTTACCATTGTTTGACTTCTGCCAGGCTATATCATGATATAACTGAAGGGAAGTAGTCACTGCTGGATCTCCCAGTATCCTACTTCCTGAATCAAAGCAGTCAGGTAGCGAGGATATGAACAGAAGAGCAGAAAAATTAATGACCTGTCTGCCTCTCTCCCCTGCCCCCACCACAAATGTCATTTACATGGCTCAATTAACCGCCACTTTTCAATAATACCCCCTCAGGATACCAATTGTCTCCCCCTCCTTCCCATGTCTTTGCACAGCATAGAACATGAAATCACCCTGAAGGACCATTATATAAATATTACTAGAGAGAATAATATAGCAGTGATTTTCAATCTGTTATACTAAGCTAAAAGTATGTAGTCTTTAAAAGAAGCGGTAAGAGTAACATTTTATGAGGTCTAGAAATTCTAGCTCTTAAAATGAATTCTGTCTACCAAAACAAAACTATTATACTTAGGCCTACACTCTGCAGAGTATTCTTTCATAAGCTATGATTTTTTTTTCTGTTTTTGATGGAGACGGGAGTAATCTTCCTGGCTGTTTATAACGATAATAATTATAGTTTATTGTTACCCGTCTAGCCTACACTGAAGTTCAATTAGTTGCAAACATCCTTCCTTTTTCTGTGAAATAAAAACTCATTTTCGGTTTAAATCTTCAGGGTTCACAATACTGGCGCTTCACCAATGATGTAATGGATAAAGGGTATCCCAAGCAAATTGCAAAAGGATTTGCAGGACTAAATGGAAAAATAATTGCAGCTCTCCCAGTAGCAAGGTATAACAACAGGCCAGAGTCTGTATATTTTATCAAAAAAGGTAAGTTTCATGGTTAGAGCGCTTTCAAATTTTAGCAGTACTTAGTTTATTTCTCTTAGAAAAGAAATACAGTTAGATTTTTAAGGGAGAATTGTCTCACCATTCAATACACATACAAATAATGACAGCAGTATATAACATACCAGGTGATATCAAAAGGAAACTTAAGGCTTCAGAAATGTTTGCATCCAAGTACTCATGGATGCTTAAATACTTTTCAGGATAGATAAGCGATAGATTTAAAAAAGTTAAAAATGCAACATGCTGAAAACTTCAGTCATGTGTTAATAGGGCTAGGGAAGGCTTAAAAAAAGAATCCAGTTAACCCACAGCTACATATACACTAGTTTATGAATCATTGTTTCTTACCTTGTGAAGTATAGGATTTACAATAAATTGAAGCCATTTCATTATCCTCAGGAACACTGAAGGACTTACTCACATAAAACTGCTAGGCAAATAAGTTACTTTACTGCAGCCCTTTCTCATGTGATTTTGTTGAGAGATGGGAATGATGCACCCAGAAAGCCTTCAAATTATAATGCAGGGGGAACAATGCTTACTATCATGGATGGTCCGAGTAACGAGACCACTGGCAGAAGCCAATGCTGCATCCAGAAGTGCTGACGCAAGTAGGCTAATGCTTGCAAGTATCATACTTCAAAAGATACATAGGCAGTGAATGGGTGAACACAGTTGAATGTTTCAAGAATAGTTGGAACATATTTTAATTTAAAAGATAGATTAAAAGCTGCTCTTATGCCAAGTCATGTACTGCTAGGATATTAATAACAGCCTTAATATTTTATCCAACTATATTTTCCTCCTGCCCCCAAATGGAACAAACTTCTGCTTTAGGTGGCAACATGCAGCATTACATCTACAGACAAGAACCAGCCAAGAAGTGCAAAAAAAAAACACGTGTTACTATAAGGTACCCAGCTTACACACCAAGACTTGTGATAAGGAGACGTTTTGAACGTGCAATAAGAACACAGACTGTTTACCAAACTATCAAAATCCAAAAATATTCAACAGGTCAGTTATTTATTATTATATACATTATTATTTAATGTCCTGTTCCTCTCTATTTTACAGCTAGTGGTTTCCAAAAGGCAAGGTTTTCTTTTCCATTCCACTTCTTTAATGCATTAATTTTTTTTGGTAATTTACTGCTGTTTCAACAAGCAGATTTTACTTTTAGTGGACACATTCTCTCCAGTTTAAAGTGATTTTCTTTTGTCTGCAGGAATATTACATGATGAGGTCAAACTTCCTACTTATTGGAGAGGATTTCCGAAAACAGTTTACACAGCTCTATCAATCCAGAATTACCAGAAGCCAGATGGCTATGACTACTATGTCTTCTCTAAAGGTATGTTGCTAAAGCAACTTGGCACAGATTTCACAGACTGAAGACTTAATACTTCAGAAGCACAGATAGATATTTTTAAAATCACCCTTAGCTGCTGTAAGATTTAATAATTTATTAGAAAAAATAAACTGTATAGAGTCATTGCTGTAAAGAAGAAAAAAAGAGTCTTTCCTTAACTCCCAACTCTGATTCTCTCAATTATACGACTAGGCAATCATAAGAACTCCAAAACCCAGTTTAATAAAAAAGTCAACCCTAGAATCAATTTTTTTGGTTGGAAAATAGCATTACAGCTGTGTGATAATAATCATGCCAAAAATGACACTGCAAATGGAAAGGAATTAAAACTGTTTGGTTCCTAAATATTTATGGTTTCTGGAATTAAAGTTCTTATCTGTGCATTTCTCTCATTTCAGATCAATACTACAACGTGAATGTGGGCAGCAGAATAGTAAGATCAGTTACTGCTATAACAGGGCAGACAGTATCTAAGGATTGGTACAAGTGTCCTAACAGTGATTTGGAACACAGGATTTGAAAGAAGGAAGCCTTTCTTATTTTTGACAGTTTGTCTAATTTTATTAATAAAAGACACTGAAATGTGGGCACACAAATCTAAATACAAAATGCAGCTTTAAGCTCTGCCATCATTACACTAAGGAAGTCTGCATACATGGCTCCAATTACTTCACAGAACGTTTAACTGATATTGCCTCTGTTAAGGCCT